CACTGTTTCATGCTACCTGTTGTCTAGTATCTGAAAATAGCTATTTTCTCTGTTTTGTTCATTTTTCTTATTTACAGTAGGAAGGTAATTCAGACTCATATTTCCTCATAGGCAGAAGCAGATGCAATAGTTCTCTTGGGTACTCAAAATTGACATCACCCATGGGCAACACAGGAATATCACATATTCCTGGATGTAATGCCCTTAGAAGGATGGAGTAGCCACCAGACATTGGCTGACACCTGTAATCCCAGCACTTTGGGAGGCTGAGGCAGGCAGATTCCTTGAGCCCAGGAGTTCAAAACCAGCCTGGGGTGACATGATGAAACTCTGTCTCTACAAAAAATACAAAATTAGCCTGGCGTGGTGGTACCCATTTATAGTCCCAGCTACTCAGGATGCTGAGTTGGCAGGATCCTCTGAGCCTGGGGAGGCTGAGGCTGCAGGGAGCCAAGATTGTGCCACTGCACTCCAGCCTGGGCAACAGAATGAGACACTCTCTCAAAAAAAAAAAAAAAAAAAAAAAAGAATTGGATGTGAGGGCGATCTGGCTGCAACATCTGTCACACCATTGATTACCAGGGTTGATTTGGCTGATCTGACTGGCTAGGCAGATATCCCCTTCCTCCCTCATCACTCCATGTGCATCCCTCCCAAAGCTGTGCACTCAGTCGAAGAGGATGACCATCAATAGAGGAAGACCAGTCTTCCGTCAAGGGTATACCAGTAGCTACACCTCCATACTAGAACATCCAAACAAGCTCTTAAAAAAAAAAAAAATAAAGGATGACATGTTATCACTGTTTGCTCGTGTGCTCTTCCAGTTTGGGCTGAATCTCATCATGAGGAAATTAACATGATCTAGTAACTTGTTAGGAATGGACATTTTTGTGTCTTCTCTGTCTAAACCTACTGAATCAGAAACCTTGGGGTTAGGGTCCAGCAATATGTAGTTTAACAAGCTCTCCAGGTGATTCTGATACATACTAAAGTGGAGAACTCCTACTATACTGAACATACTTTAGGAATTCCTGCTGCCTTCTTCTAAAGCACTATTTCTTTAATTTTCAGCTTCTCCAATTTGGGAAATACCTGCTATATGAATGCTATTTTACAATCCCTATTTTCACTCCAGTCATTTGCAAATGACTTGCTTAAACAAGGTATTCCATGGAAGAAAATTCCACTCAATGCACTTATCAGGTAATCATTTTGTACTGTACTTATTGAGTAACCTTTTACTTCATTGATTATAGAATAATGGAATTTTAGACACTCAAAAATTTTCTGTGCTGTTATTAGTAGTCTTTAAAATGTCATGCCATGTCATGTAAAACTTTGTTTTTTGTTTTACCAGACGCTTTGCACACTTGCTTGTTAAAAAAGATATCTGTAATTCAGAGACCAAAAAAGATTTACTCAAGAAGGTTAAAAATGCCATTTCAGCTACAGCAGAGAGATTCTCTGGTTATATGCAGAATGTGAGTATTAATTGTTTTAAAACGTTTCAGAGGCCTGACACAGTGACTCACGTCCATAATCCTAGCACTTTGGGAGGCCTAGGTGGGCAGATCACATGAGGTCAGGAGTTTGAGACCAGCCTGGCTAACATGGTTTGAAACCCTGTCTCTACTAAAAATAGAAAAATTAGCTGGACATGGTGGTAGGCACCTGTAATCCCAGCGACTGGGGAGGCTGAGGCAGAAGAATTGCTTGAAGCTGGGAAGCAGAGGTTGCAGTTAGCCAAGATTGTGCCACTGCACTCCAACCTGGGTGACAGAGCAAGACTCCATCTCAGTCAGTCAATCAATCAATATTTATAAAAATAAATAAAATGTTTCAGAGATCATGGAAATAGACATGATTTTAGTGTTTCTTGATTTTTATTTTAAAATGAGATTTGTGTATGCGTGTTCATTATGTAATGAAAAACCTGAGGAGAGGCTGGACTTGGTGGCTCATGCCTGTAATCCCAGCACTTTCAGAGGCCAAGGCAGGTGGATCACCTGCAGTTAGGGGTTCTAGACCAGCCTGACTGACATGGTGAAACCCCATCTCTACTAAAAATACAAAAAAATTAGCTGGGCGTGGTGTCGAATGCCTATAATCCCAGCTGCTTGGGAGGCTGATGCAGGAGAATCTATTGAACCTCGGGGGGAGTGGGTTGCAGTGAGCTGAGATTATGCCATTGTACTCCAGTCTGGATGGCAACAGCAAAAATCCTTCTCAGAAAAGAAAGAGGCCGGGTGCAGTGGCTCACGCCTGTAATCCCGGCACTTTGGGAGGCCGAGGCAGGTGGATCATCACGAGGTCAAGAGATCGAGACCATCTTGGTCAACATGGTGAAACCCCGTCTCTACTAAAACTACAAAAAATTAGCTGGGCATGGTGGCGCATGCCTGTAATCCCAGCTACTCAGGAGGCTGAGGCAGGAGAATTGCCTGAACCTAGGAGGCGGAGGTTGCGGTGAGCCAAGATCGCGCCATTGCACTCCAGCCTGGGTAACCAGAGTGAAACTCTGTCTCAAACAAAAAATAAAGAAAGAAAGAAAAAGAAAAACCTAAGGAGTTGTAGCAAGACTAAAGGTAACTCTTCTGTATATTGTACCATATTTTAATATATAGATTTGATTTGCTAGTGCAAGGATTTGGGCTGTGTTAGCTGCAAAAAGCTTTTTTGAAAAAAGCAAAGTGAGGAGTTATACAATTGATATAATTACTAAGAATATATAATCTGTCATTTGTTTTTATCCATAAAATATGCAGCCCCCCCCCCAAATTCTTTTAAGAATAAACCTGACATTGTTCACATATGTCATTGAATTCCAAGGGCTTTCACTGTATAAATTATGTTAATATGATAATGTTTTTTGGTTGTTTTGTTTTTTGTTAGTTTTTCCTTTTTTTGAGACAGAATCTTGCTGTGTCACCCAAGCTGGAATATAATGGTATAATCTTGGCTCACTGCAACCTCTGCCTCCTGAGTTCAAGTGATTCTTCTGCCTCAGCCTCCCAAGGAACTGGGACTACAGGCACCCACCACCACACCTGGCTAATTTTTGTATTTTTAGTAGAGATAGGGCTTCATCATGTTGGCCAGACTGGTCTCAAACTCCTGACCTCAAGTGATCCGCCCGCCTTGGCCTCCCAGAGTGCTGGGATTACAGTTGTGAAGCACCAGGCACAGCCTCAATAAGCTGTTATTGTGACAAAAAAATGTTTTTATCTAATTAAGGATATCATTGTCTTATTAGGATGCTCACGAATTTTTAAGTCAGTGCTTGGACCAGCTGAAAGAAGATATGGAAAAATTAAATAAAACTTGGAAGACTGAACCTGTTTCTGGAGAAGAAAATTCACCAGATATTTCAGCTACCAGAGTATACACTTGCCCTGTTATTACTAATTTGGAGTTTGAGGTTCAGCACTCCATCATTTGTAAAGCGTAAGTAATATCTAAGAAATGATTTTCCCCTTTTAGTTCTTTATGGCAAGTGATTGAAACTTTCCTACGACATAGCAAATGCTATGAATTATTTTCTGTTGTTAAGACATGGTCTCACACTGTCACCCAGGCTCTTGAGTGTAGTGGCACAACCCTAGCTCATTGCAGCTTAGATCTCCTGGGATCAAATGATCCTCTGACCTTAGCGACCCGAGTAGTGTATTTTTATCTCATCTTCATTTCTATGTCATAGGGGAAATATAAACCAACAGATTATACCAAACCTTTTTTTTTTTCAAAATCTTTATCTTTCTATAGAAATGCTTGGGCTAGGCACAGTGACTCATGACTGTAATACCAGCACTTTAGCAGGATGAGGTGAGCAGATAGTGTGAGCCCAGTAATTCAAGACCAGCCTGGGCAACATGGAAATACACATCTCTACAAAATATACAAAAATTAGCCAGGCATGATGGTGCACACCTATAATCCCAGCTACTTGGAAGGCTGAAGTGGGAGAATTGCTTGAGGCCGGCAAGTTGAGGCTGCATTGAGCCCTGATCACGCCACTGCACTCCAACTTGGGCAACAAAGCAAGACCCTATCTAAAAAACAAAATTAAGCAAAACAAAAATTCTTGGTGGAGTGAGAACTGAGGAAAATTTAAATACTTTGTTATACGCTTTAGTATTGACTAAACACTTAATTTTGATCTATAGTTTTTTTGTTTGTTTTTTCATTGCTGTGTAGAATATTGAGTTGTTTGGGAATACTTGTTTTTCAGTGAAAAACAATATTACTTGCTTGTTTGGTTGAACCACAAATTATTTTTACTAAATTTTTTTTTACAAAATAGATCAAAATTTCAATTATTTTTACCCTTTGCAGTATTTTTCAACCATATTTGCAGTAATTATCTAGACTTATTTCCTACATTAAATTAATTTCCATGCTTATCATCAGGACTTCTACACCCTGCACATCACTTTAAAATATTTTGCTTTGTCCAATCTTCCAGTCATCTATAGTACATTTCTGAATAGATTTTTTTCAGAGAAAATGTAATTCTTTACAGTCTCTATATGAGATAATTATTTTTATGGCTTTCACATATGAGTTAATGCAGAATTATTGAGTCACACATAGACTTTACCCAATCAATGTATTATGTATACTGTCCTATCATACCCTGTTACTCTGTGCCACTCATAAGAAACTTTACTTTGTGGGAATTTTTTCTTTTTCTTCCAGAAAATCTGTGGTATTCTTTATTTTTGAAATTCAGTTTCACTGGTTTACATCTAGTTATTAACACTTTTGTTACTTTTTCCTTAATATGGTAGAGCCTTTTCTTCTGAAGGTTTGGGATTTTCTCCAACCCAGAAAACTATTCTCTAAATACTGCTTCTTTTCCATTTTGGAATTTTCTTCAGAAATATTCAGAATCCACATTGGTTCTCCAATTTTCTGTCCTCCATATCTGTTTTTCTCAGACTACTCAAAATGATAGTGTTCACTGATATCTTTTTCAGCTATAACATTCTAGCATTTTTAACCAGAATTTTAATAAAAACAGATTTGCATCAGTAGTCTGTGATATTGTTTGCCTTCATTCAAGACTTCATAAGTGTTTTTTCCCCCAATGGATAAACGATTTTCTTTTTTTTTTTTTTTTTTTTTGAGACGGAGTTTCGCTCTTGTTACCCAGACTGGAGTGCAATGGCGCGATCTCGGCTCACTGCAACCTCCACCTCCCAGGTTCAGGCAATTCTCCTGCCCCAGCCTCCTGAGTCGCTGGGATTACAGGCACGCGCCACCATGCCCAGCTAATTTTTTGTATTTTTAGTAGAGACGGGGTTTCACCATGTTGACCAGGATGGTCTCGATCTCTTGACCTCGTGATCCACCCGCCTCGGCCTCCCACAGTGCTGGGATTACAGGCTTGAGCCACCGCGCCCGGCCCAATAAACGATTTTCTAAAGAAAATATTCGAATCTTGCAAGTATGGTTCAGCTTATAAAAAGCTGGAGAGTCCAACAGCAGTAAATAATATGATAGCCATTTATTCCTTCCTTCTTATGCACCTTCCAGACAAAATTTGTGAAAGTGAAAGTGAGGGGCAAAGTTTTCAGTTATTATTGAATTGTGGGAGTACCATTCAAACTTTTTTTTTTTTTTTTTTTTTTTTTTTTTTTTTT